AAACTGCCAGACGCGGATCGCGATTTCGATCTTTTTGGATCTCATCAGCGCGTCGCAGACAGCTCTTACAGAACACAGACCAACTTTTACCTGCTGTCTTAACAGCGCGTTTTAGAAAATACTACAAATGGCGCGGTAAACGCTATCTGTAGTACGATGCTACATTTTAGGATTACGTATGCTCCAACAAGGTCCATTTAAATGTATGGATATCTACTTGCTGAAATAATAAATTTAAAATGTAAAACCATTGTACCATTGTACCAATTTTAGCAAAGGAACATTAGATATAGAAACCTTAAAGAAATCATTTTTTTTTTATTTAATATCATCAATTTGTTACTTTCATATTAGTTATAACGGGCGGAAAACAAAAGGTTAGAAACGTTCGAAATGTAGTGATACAGGCGAATGATGAGGTATCGTGGATAACGTAGTGAATTTGTATTACAAAGAGGAGGATAATATAGGGCGCCGTGGAAGTTAATAAGAAATAGGCGTGATAGGTTGGTAGGACACCTTCTTAGGCATGAAGGGCTAGTTAGAGACATATTAGAAGCAGACACAAATAGTGAAATGGTTAAGGATGTGAGAAATTCTAGTTTTAAGGAAATGCGAAGATTGGCTCAAGATAGGAAAAGGGTGGAGGTGTGTGTGCAACTAGTTTTAGGGCTGATGACCCTATGATGGTGATGGCTAATTATATTATAAACCATAATAGAACTCATGTAATTTTATTTTCGCTTTAAGAAACGCAATGTTTGATTTTAGCAAACATTGTTTATTTTAATCAGATATTGGATCTCATAATGGCTGAAATTATATTTAAATTTATGCTTAATGTTGTTAATATTTCAATAAAATATATATTTGTTATATTCAACGGTCTTTACAACTTTAAAGACAAATTTTTATTTTTAAGTCTTACTCTTATGCAAATAACTCTTTTTTAGCCCTCGCTCCGAAAACGTGGTGTCGTCTTACATGCGAACGTTTCAGATGCGAACAACCACATTTTGGTGTTATTTGCGAACACTCGTATTAAGATCCAGGTGCTCTTAATAATTGTAGGTCCGTTTGAGAACAACTACATTTTATTTATTTCGGTTGTATCTATTTAATACAATACAACAAGCAATTTTTGCAATTATATACTATTCATGCCGACATATTTAATATTCTAAAAACAAAAACACTGTGGGTTCCCCGCAAAATAACTATGGATTTTGAACAGGCAGCCATCATAGCTTTGCAAAGCGTTTATCCGGAAGCGGCGATACAAGGCTGCAATTTCCATCTCCGACAATGTTTATGGAGGAAAATTCAAGAAATTGGGTTAACCGTTGATTATAAAAATGATGTTGAATGTAGAAATCATTTGCGAATGTGCGCTGCATTGGCATATGTAGATAGCAATAGAACATACTGATGACGGGTGGATTTCAATACAAGAGACAACCCTTGTAAATGACCAAATCAAAAAATTTTTTGATTATTTTGTGGAACAATGGCTAAACAATCCTGTAATGCCGAAAGAAATGTAAAATTGTTACAAAGCAACTCGTCGAACAAATAATGCAGTTGAAGGCTGGAACAGACGCGGTTACACCAGATTGTGAAGCAACCGCATCCAAACGTATATTTTTTGATAAAAAAATTAAAAGCAGAGGCTAATTACGCTGCACTAATTATCCACAGGGCGGAATTAAATATGGAAGCCAAAAAGAGGAAATAACAATACGTAAAGGTAGACGAACGCATTCAGAAAACCTTGCAAATGCAAATTTTGCATATACAAAGGATATTAAAAAATGTTTAGAAACATTATCTGTTAATGCAAAATTTGAGTGGAAAATAAAATTATATAAATATTGTAAATATTAGATGACGGACATTGACAAAGGCAAACACCAACTTTTAAACATGCCAGTATTCAACTACCAGTCCTAAGCCTGGATAATGTGTGAAGGGTTGCTAAGCATCATTGTAACTAACATTAGCATTTGTTCGTTTAAATAACTTACTATCTGTTCGTAAATGAAACTATAATTTCCAGGTCAACTCAAGGCTACTTATTACTGTTGGCAAATGGCACTAAATCTCATTTGTTCGCAAATGACACGTTCGCAAACACTCTGACTCTCACTCCAAAAACATCATTTTAATCATCAAATACAATTGTTGCTATGAGTCAAACACAATCAATAATGTAGATAAACAAACTAACTTCTACTCACCGTTCTTCTTGTAATGAACTTGGTGTGAAATATACCTGTCCAGTCATCCAATTTTCCTCTAATGTGATATCTAGCAATTTCCAGTAGCTCTAAAGTAAAAATAATGAGCAATTAGTGTATGCCAAAATAACAAAATTTACAACTTCTTTTTAGTTTACATTTGTTTTCAGTTCTTAAAGGTCACTTCATTTAGGTTTCTGACAGAGGAACCGCAAAAAATTTTTGATCATCATCCAATTAAAGGAAATTCTCTGCATCGGCCAATCAACATATGGGTAGGTACTAACTTAAATATCTTTAATGTATAATAATATAAGAAAATACTAGACAAATAGCAACTCCAACTGCTTATAAAAATAAATAAACTAACTAAAAGAACATTATTTTAAATAAACTATATTTACATCTAGGTATATGAAATTGTTTATATTAAATAAAAACCTTTTCCTCTTTAAAAAGTTATTTCTGTAGTTGAACATTACTTCATGTTAAATCGTATTATACTATAGTATATTAAATTCCTCATTAAATTGATAATTTATCAAAAATTTAAATAGGCAATGTCGGTTTCGGAACCAAAGAGTCAATGTCGCTGGACAAGGTAGACTTTTACTGGACATTAGTCATTGACATTAATCCTGAAGGGATTTTATAAAGAACTATTGTGAATAATTAACGAAAAAAAGAAGTGTACCAACTCTGTTTTTAAAAAACTTCTGTAGGAGAAAGCCACTTTTCTACATTTAAATAACCAAATCAAAAAATAAAACGAGGAAAATGTCTCAAGTCCATCAGTATGCAAAGAAAAAGAAGAATAATAACTTTAGACTTTTTCATGAGAACATAACAGCGTGAAACGTTTTGATTTTATATTTCTTCTTGTATTATAAATGAAAAAGGATGTGCTTTCGTTCATCAAGAAATTTTACATTTAATTTCAAGAATATCAAAATTGTGATAATCTGTTTCAAATATACGCATTGTGTTCCTATTGTAGAAACATATTATAGATGCCTATTCAAAATTGAACGTGTGCGTATGAAAGTAATTAGATGTAAAATTTGAATGCAAACAAAAACCAAATACAAGTACTCCTATGTCACTAAACTAGAAAAACATTGCGAAACGTATTTCACCACCTATGGAAGTAAATTAACATTTTCGGAAAATGTCACTAATTCTGATTGTAATTCAAATTCAGTACTACTAATTTACGTTGCTAACAGATAAATACTACCACCACAATTAATATTTGCCAGAATGCCTTAAATACTTAACTACGAAAACCCTCAGTTGGAAAACATCCCGGCCACAAACTTGTAATCTCCAAAGGAGACGAATTTCCTATTCCTTTTCTTTTGTAACTCTTGAAACGGATATGTCAGCATTCTAAATCTCGATATATTAGATATCGTCCGGAAGTTTTACGGTTTGGTCCATGCAGTAACCGATATCTAAAAGAAGAAAACAAATTATTATATTTCTGTAGTTTACGTAGTGCCATAAAAATTGTTATAATCATCCACTAAAGAATAATGGCTCAATACAACATAAGTAAGTTATTAGGATCATCAAATAACCAATAATACTTACAGTATTATCATTCGTTTTGGTACGTGAGGTGTCCAAACAACTTCTCATGTAAATAAGTGATGATTTCCAAGTTCAAGCTGCACTTCCTTGTGGTATTGGTTAAAACGTCATCGTTTTAGTTCCTCATCACACACAAGAAAAAGACCATTAATAAAGGATAATTTCTTTGATAGGTTGCATGTCCCCAAAGTTGATCCAAAAAGTGTCGTACTGGTGTCTAAATAAAACAGTAAAAGTAGTGTTATTTTTGAATATTTATAGAAATATACCCGTACTAACAAATAACTCTTTTCAAACCCCCCAAAAAATTCCATCAATATTATTACTAGAAACGAAATGAAACTTAATAAATAACACAATTAGCAATGTGCAAAAACAAACTTAATAATACTCACCGTTTTTTTCTTAAAGAATTTGATGTAATACATATCTAAACATCCAGTCTTCCATTAAGTCTAGAAACTTCCAGTGGTTCTAAAACAAAAATAATTGACAATAAATGTAGGAAATTCTTTATTTATAATTTAAAATTGTTTTTCAATTTACACCGGTTTTCAGTTTTTAAAAGTAATTTCATTTAGGTTTCTGATTGAGGAACCGCCAAAATGTTTTCAAAATTTAAAAGAATTGCTATAATCCCCAATAAACATATCGATACTATATTTAAATGCAACAAAGTTTCGGACATATATTACAACAACCCTAAAGATATCTACCAACACGAAATTAGTATAGACAGTTATATGAAGCAAAAAAGATGTAAAAAACATACGTTATAGTGCAGATGTTATGTTTTCTCTGTTCTTTTGATAAAGTCTGCATAAATAAATAGATAATTAGTATAAGTAGATACTCACTTTCATTTCGAATTCAAGGGATATAAGAAGTCGTCCATCGGCCTTAATAACCTAATGTAAAAGCAAAATATTATTATTGTTATAATTTTTGTTGTCACAACACAGTGGATCTAGATTCTCTAAATTTCAGATCCTGCTTATTTCTTCATAGTTTTTTCAAAACACACCGTAATAATCATCATGCATAATAAGGTACTGTGTTATTTGTTAATTTCTTACTATTTAAGCTTTTAATAGCATCTATATAAATACTTACTATTGTATAATTATCCAGTCCACTGACATTCTCCGTTTGATCCACACCAGCATGTATTCTAAAACAACAGACCAAAAAACTTATTAGATTTTCTTTAAATAGTAGTTTAACAATAACAATTACAATAAATACGTATTCGCTGCAACTGTTACTTCAATAAAATAGCCCCAAAAAAATCATTTGTTACAAGTAAATTTTACTTAGAGTATAAGAAGGAAATTTTCTAAAAAAAGCGCTTTTCGTTTACAAGTCATTATTATAAAAGAATTATCAAAATATATAGACGATGACATCTTGATTCCTTTTACTCTATTCTAATTACAATCGTCTCATATTTAGGTATTTATTTAGAGAACATTATAATATATTATCAGTCAGACGTCGCCATCGAAGATTCAGTTGCAGCTTGTGGGCATGTTACACGAAAGGGCACACATTACATTGATCAAAATTGAAAATAATCAACAAACACGATAGGTGATCACGAAATGAATACTATTAACACAATTTTATATTTAAACGTCAGGCCTAAGAACAAGGGTTTGTACGAATAATTCCAGGGCACTCGTAAAGTACGTGACCGTGCGAGCCGATTGTTTTAGGTACTATTTAATAGATAATGATAATAACAAATAATTTTAGCATCCCTCGGTGAATAAGGTGGTTCAGTTCTTCCTTTTCTGTTCCCCATATTCTCTTATACAATGAATGTAGAGGAAGAGAAAGGGGGAACTGAATGACCAATACGACGAGAAGCGAACATCCTCATTCCCCTGTACATCTTAATTATGCATAACCACCCCTTAAAATATTAACTAAATAAAAGATATTTGACTAACGTTTTCTTGCAAAATATTCAACAGAAGCTCAAGCTTATGTATTTTGTTAAGTATTAAAAATTTTCAAACCATTTTGTTGTTGGTAGGAAGTTTCAAAGAAGTATTTGCTTTTTTTTATGTACAATGTCTTTGGGGCATGTTTCATATAGCAATAAATTCAACACAATAAAGGAATCTTAGCCTTAGTAAATTAAAGACCTGTTGTTTAAACACATCCGCACTACAACCATACTGCACCCGTTCAAAAATTTTAATTAATACTTTTTTAGTAGTTGACATTTACTGACACGGTTACGGTACGGATATAATACGGATGTGTCAATTAACCTTATGCTTATTTACACAAACATAATTTTCGTTGAAAATCACATTAATTGTGATTTTTATACTTGTATCCATTATTTTATTACCTGCGATTCCACCGCTGACTTCTAAAGATGCTGAAAATGTCTGTATTTTAGTTGGTGACAGTAATGCAATCCCTCTTCTTATGCGCTGCCCATTTTTCTAAAATTTAATGGGCAGCCACAAAAGAAGTGGGTTGTAATACTACTTACAGATATTTGTACAAAACTTGAAAACAAAGTCCACTAATTGTAAATATCCGCTGCTTAATCTTCTAATTTTCTCCGTCTCGTTCGATAGTCACCAAATTAAAATGAAGTAACCGTCGATAGAGAGGAGAAACTAGGAGACATGTTAGATATCTACAATATAACACTAAACACCAGTAAAAGCAAAAATCAATAAAACTCCGAAAACGTTTATAATATGTTAACAAATTACCGCACCAATATGACCACTTTAATTTAAGATGGATCCCAAAATTTGATAGAGTAAGTCAAGACAAAATGGCCACAAGAATTTGACACTTTGCTTTACTTCGTTATGAATAAAACCTAAATGGAATATTGATTTGTAATGTGTGCCACATTCAAACGAAAAGAAATAATTCAGAACATAGCATAAAAAGCATCAGTAACACTTATGTGCAATGTACGGCACATTTCAAATTACAGATTTTAAAGCACATTCAATAACTAAAAGCAATAATGGTGTATGTCACATTAATTTAATACATTTCTTTGTATTACTATACTATACTATACTATACTATACTATACTATTACTACGCTTTAGTATATTTAATACAACCCTCTTGAGATATAAATTAAACTAACCTAGCCTAGCCTGTATCTTAGTAGAAGGTATACCTATTACACTTCCGTACAAATATTTGATAAACAATATGTCGGCTACTAAAATAAACGATCAATGTACAAATTTAAACGATAGCGGCAAGTAAATTACAAAAAAAGTAAGAAAAGAAAAACACAAAAAGCAACAAATTTTTTCATCGTTTTTGTTTTTATAATGAAACAACCTAAGAATGTATATTTCTTCTAAGCTTCGCATTGATGAAAGTACCTACTAATAAAAATACATAAGATACACTTACCATATTTCAACAAAAAGGGAAGTAGATGCATCTGCTTTTGTAATTCTTAAGTCGCAGGTCATCTGGAATTAAATTCAAATTTCACCCTTTTATTAATGATTAATTTTTTCGCACAAAAAATAAACGGCATTAGCACAAAATGCGCGCGACTTGCACATAACATGACCAACGTAATAGTGGAAGCATTGACGGTTGTTGTAGGTTATAATTTTCTTGGAATCAACACCGCCGCCATTATCGATTTTAAAACTGTTACTAGCTGTTTTTAACTTAAAAATGTCAAATAGAAGTCCAGAAACCGTAAAAAATCGTAATCGTTGCTATTTTCTCTTCGTTAGTGTATGATTTATAAATGTAGATATCATGTATCGCTTCTAAATAAATAATTTAAACCATACCTAACCTAATCTTATAAAAACACAAAGAAAATGCCTGTTATAAATAAGCAATTTTTATCTGAAGCAGTTAACTGTGAAAATTCTAAGTAAACGGACGCCTTACCCGTAAATATCAATGCCGCAAATTTTATTTAAATTCGATAAACATGCACACAGCACAAAATGTCGTTAACAAATTTTGAACTGCACCATCAAATTTCACAACAGCCTTCTTGCTTCTCTACATGATAAATCAATATATTAAATGTAACCTATCTTTCTCGCATCTTTAACCGCCATTAGTAGTTTTTAACGGAACTTTGGTAAAAGTTAGTATTGGACGTGTTTAATATTGAGACGCCATTTTAAGAAACGAGCAAAACAGACCGCTTTATTATTACATACTTTATACATATATTTGATTAAAATATTTCTCAAAAAATTATTCACTTTCAAGCATACATTTGCTGACTTTAATTATGCCTAGTCACTAGGACTATTTTGGCCGAAAAGTGCTGTACTCAGTCGCTCGCTCAATTATATAGATTTTAGATATAGATAGTTCTTGGCTTTCCCAGGATATCTGAGCTTGACGTAAGTGAGACTGGGTGGTGAAAATCGCTTCTTCACTAATTGGTTTCTGACGAAAAGTCCGAAAATGGTTCAGGATCTTTTAAATTAGACTCATTAAATATGCAAGTATACTGATGGGTGAAAGATGAACGAAAATGAGAGAATGTTCTAGAAAATTAAAAAACATTTTCTAAAAATTTTAACTTCAATATTTTGTAGAAAATTCTGCAATGTTTCAAAATTTTCTATAATGTTCCTAAATTTTCGCAACATTTCTTCATTGTGCTACAATAGGTATTCCAACCAGAAAAATGACAAGCCTTAATGCTAGCAGGTGTTTAAAAATACTTTAGTAAGTAATAGGTACTATGAATATTAATAGGCAATTATTTTACTCTGTTCCTAGTTTTTTTAATGTAATTTAATTTATTCTCATTCATAAAATTTAATTAAAATGGCTACTATGCCATTAATTTACCACTTTGTAGCAGTAGAACATACACATGTGCATAGTTGGTAATTATTTCTCCTTGATGATTCCCCAGAAACTATCCTTAAAACACTATAATATGTAGTAGGGTAAATCAAATCAACAATAAGAACAAACAGAGTTTGTAAACAGAGAGAGAGGCCCTAATGCTCTAGTGCCCTAGGACAGGACATCATCCCATGGTAAAAAGGTTTCCCAGCGAGCCACCTACCTATACTTCATTAAAAAATAAGTGTCCATATTTATTAATTTACAATATTCTTATTAACCATTTCAAGTGTAAACAAATTATGCACTCAGTAAACCAGTTAAATATAGGCGTTCATCGTCTCCTGGTCTTTGGGGCCGTCCATATATTCGTCACACCGTGGCAAGGAAGGAGGTCTTCAGGGTGGCGAAACGAAATATGACAATGAGGAGGGGAGAGTCTCTAGGTAATGTAACGTTTGAATGGAGTCAACCACTAGCAAAAACGTACAATGAAAGTGGACGTGGTAAGCGACGAAGAGGTTTTAGATCTACATGTCGAAGTATGACAAGGAGAGCAGGGGCGTTCAAAAAGTGGTAAAAACCGTGGAACGCAAACGTAAATATCAACGGACCCTCGCTAGTTATTCACTTGC